TAGACCTCCCTTCTATCATAGAACCTGCTCCTGCCATGGACCCTCCTCCTGATGCAGCCCCTGCAGCAGCAGGAGCACAACAACCATTGCTTGTACAACCTCCTCTAATCCCAAACCCTCTTTCTCCTCCTAATTCTCCCACAGGTTTTGTGTCACTGGATGGAGTTGTTACACGTAGCGGTCGAGTCGTACATACACCTGCCCGGTATGTGTTATGTGTGGGACACAACCCGGACAACATCCAGCCTCCCGCCGCGCCGGGAGGGGAGGGGGAGTATTGTAGTGGACGTCTCCCCTACAACTGCGTATCACATTCCGACGCGCTGCCGTATCCTAGCAACCAGGAGGCCAGCAACAGGCAACATCTTCTCTAACGAAGCTCCTGCACATCTACCTCCTTCAACACGCTACTCACCGAACGTCTCTACTGAGCAGCTCCTCACCACACGGCACCTCCAGCACCAGACTGTCTATCATATAACTTATATTATATAAGAAAACCACATTAGAGTTTCCTTCCATCCTGAGTGCTAGACAACATTAATATCTCGATACCCCTACAGTATATTATACTTACAACGGTAGCCTGCCACCACCCAGACTTTTATTAGAATATAACATTTCTCACCGAAAGCTTTTGGGTAGTGTGGTTGAGTGTTTATAGGCATGTGAGTAAGTATTATTTTCTGGGAACCAATGTTTAGAAGGAATAGAGTGGTGATACTCGTAAATTATTGATTTAATATTTATTAACACAGCGAGTGAATAAGATGTTACTTAATTTCACTCAGACAAGACTGGACCCTCAGGTCTTACTGTAAACCCAGCAGCTACCAGGGATCGGTAGCTGCATACCAGCTGGCTGTATTGGAAGATGTCCTTAATTTGGCAGGATTAAACTGAGCGACTCCGCACCCTGGGAACTAGGCCCGAACTCCTTTCGCCGTTTGTCGGACTACACAACCGACCCTAACATCGCTCTTCACTTGGTGAACCAGTGTTACACCCTGGGGCACTCCCTACAGTCATATGGGCCAAAGTATTATTGTTGTATATGATTGGTGATCATTAGCAGAAATATTGTTATCCCATGTTGAGTAGTGAACCCATAAATATTGATTGTACCAGTAAATATGTTATGTGAGTTGAGTACATGAACTGAAGGATAAGTACCATGTTGTTCATTCCGAAAGAACATGATGTTTTAAATTAATTCAGGATATTGCCAAGTGTGTCATATAACCATCTGTATTGATAATGAAATAATATAATGCTTGTTCAATGTTGTAACCAAGAATTGAAGATTTAATTTGATACTTGTAAAAATAAGACCTGAAGGTCTGGTCCTATCTGAACGTGTAAAATAACCATCTTCTTTGTCAAAGAAATAATACAACAGTTGTTTAATGATGTAATAAGTAATTGAAGATATATTTTATGAATGGTAAAGTAAGACTTAAGTGGACCAGTCTTGTCTGAGTGAACTTAATTAACATCTTATTCACACCTTATGTTAATAAATATTAAATTAGTAAACCACGAGTATCATCGCTCTATTCCTTCTACCCATTGGTTCTCAGAAAATAACTATCGTAACTCATGTGCCTAGAAGCTCGCTAGCACGCTACCTAAAAGTTTACTAAGATATGTTATATTCTAATAAAAGTTTGGGTGGTGGCAGGCTACCGTTGTAAATAATAAGTGTTATAATAATAATGACATGGTTTCCCAGACTAATCCATGGTTTAGAATATAACTAGGACAGAATATAATTGAGAGAAAGTAAGGACATGAAATTCAGGAAATACAATGATATATATGAAAAAAAGAAATGAAGTAAAGAAAAGAATATTGACTTAGAAAATATAAGCAAAGAAATATAAGAATATTGACTTAGAAAATATAAGCAAAGAAATACAGGATATATACTTATAGAACGAAAGACATAGAATATAAAATTATTATAGCATGTACACCAGAAAAGATTAATATAAAAGATAGATATGAGCAAGAATATAAGTATATAAGATTATAAGAATGCATATATGAAATAGTATATAAAGAGGTAAACCGGCACAAGACTAGTGAGGTCATCTTGAGACTATATCTTGCGCTTGTGCGACCTCACTTGGATTACGCAGTTCAATTCTGGTCACCATATTACAGAATGGATATAGAATCCTTGGAAAGAATTCAGAGGAGAATGACAAGACTAATCCCGGGCATTAGGAACCTTGAGTATAGAGACAGGTTAAAGCATCTTAATTTGCACTCCCTCGAGAGACGTAGAGCGAGGGGCTAAACAAAGGGGACATTACAAAGGTACTCAAACTATCCAACCAGGAGCGAACTCGTAACAATGGTTTTAAATTAGACAAATTTAGATTTAGGCGCAAAATAAGTAAATACTGGTTTGGAAACAGAGTAGTGGATGAAAGGAACAAGTTACCTAATATCATCATTAACTCAAATACGCTGGATATCTTCAAACATAGGTTGGATGCTTATATGAGCAATAGGGGTTGGGTGTAAACGGGACTGCCCAGTATGGGCCAATAGGCCCGCTGCAGTTTCCTCCATTCTTACGTTCTTTATGTCTTCACTTATTATTTACAACCTCTTTGCGGTCACTGATGACACTATGAACTGATTTAACTAAAGGCACAGTACTACACACCCTGGTTGGCCTTTGGGTGGTTTATCACAACCGTGACCACAACTCATTAATAAAAAAATAAATAAATAAAAGTTTTGTCATATGGCAATAATTTTGTGGTTGTAGGCCTCTTGACCTGGGCTGTACCTCCAAATCGGTGGAGATTGAGTTTTCAAATATACAATCGCGTCTAGCATTAAAAATCCTTCATCGATTTACACTTTCACATCACCAAGATGATCTTATGTAGTCACTGCCCAATTTCCACCGCTCAACAACAAAGGCCCGAGTGCCAAACACGCTTTGTTACAGAGACGCAACACAACCCGACCTGACTGTATTATGTATGATATCTGAAGTTGTGTGTTGAGGTTATGATATCTGAAGTAGTGTGTTGTGAGGCTATGATATCTGAAGTTGTGTTGTGAAGCTACGACAATTAAAATTGTGTTGTGAAACTAAGACATCTGAAGTTGTGTGTTGTGGAGCTATAACATCTGAAGTTGTGTGTTGTGAGGTTACGAAAAGACAACTAATGCAGGTAGTAGGCAGCTATCAAACAGGGAGGTACTACAGCCTGGGAAGATATTGGAAGCATAATGTATTGTCTAATGGTAGACCCTGCTGCCATATAGCATCACAAAAATTGTGACCAAGTCCGAGGTTGCTGATCTGACTTTCTGCCTCACTTACACACAATTGCAGGTTCTCAATAGTTTCTCTTGCTATTGACAACACAACATACATATTGTATATAATTTTCTAACTTTTTATTTTATTTTATTTTTTTGTTCATTCATGGTTATTATTATTTTCGTTATTATTATTATATTTTCGCCCCCAGGCCGTGATACAGATCAGTGACCTGTGTCTGGGTGTGATAATCCCCAAAAAGAAAAATGTATTGTAAGGCTATGACATCCAAAGCTGTGTTGATGGAACAAAACAACAACCAAATTTGTGTACTTTGATGTTATGATATATCCGTATAGTTAATGCAGCATCTGTCTTTGGGAATATAAGTACGGCACAGTAGTTAAAAGGACAATGTCATCAGTAAATAATTTATTCACCAGTGTAGATTCATTAAGGATCCTCTCATATTATATGGGATCATTAGAAAACAATCATCTAACATTGAAAAATGCTGTTAGAAAAACATTCTTCTAATAGGCTATATGGTTGTTAGGAAAGCATTCATTTGGTTATTGAAAAGTGTTCACCTAACATTGAAGTTAATTTAAGAATTTTGTGCTTAGATAAATCGATCTCTAAAATATAATGTAAATTAGTTAGGAGTTTTTTTGCTGCAATATCATTTGTAGTTTGTAAATCATTGCTTTTAAGATCCATTGACAGTAACCACTGATCAGTCGGACTTTGTGGTTTACTTTACTTAAACTCATACCTTGATTGTTATCTTATTCAACTTGAAAATTTTGTTGTCATTAACTTTTACCAAATTTTGCATGTTTGTTTAGGGTGAACAAATTTCTGCCTACAGCCATTAACTTTATCTGACTTCATGTAATTCTAACATTACTGTAATGGACTCATGCTTATTCAAGGCCATTAACCTTATCTACTTTAATGTCTCTAAGGTCAATGAATTATTTTGTCTGCCATATTTTTAAAGTCAGGAAATTTATTTACTGTGATATGTCTTAGTTTGTTAGCTTAACTTTTAAACATTGTGCCAAATTGTATATAAATGCCTATTTTAATGAGGTGCTAAGAGCCTATTAACATGGTTATTTATAAATAAAGCCTATATCCATCTCCTCACCCTCTTTAAGCATACTGTATAAATTGGTCCAGTTTCTGCTACGCTAAGACATGATTTATTCACTAATAAGTCAAAGGAAATGTGATAAGTGTCACTATTATCCCAAGACTTTTGTTACCTTACAAGTTCATATTGAAGTTACTCCCCAAGAGTGTGTTGGGGAATTTTAAACTATTCTCTCAGTTTAAGTCTGGGTAGGTAGTTTGTGGGCAAGTCTGATAGCCTGTTAGGTGCAGTGTAAATACAATACAATGTATACTATACTAAGCATTCAGTACGTGACCAGCAGAGCACTGAACTGCTTTCACTTCCAAAACAATAAAGTTGGGTACTCTTCATACAGTTGGGTGGACTTGGGGGTGCCCCAGGTGCACATCAGCACTCTTGGAATTGGTGGCGAGTGCCGTGTCTGTATTAATAATAGGCAAATACATATGAACTGTACACACACACACACACAAAGCCATACATGCAGTGTATTAGATAACAACAGACAACTTAAAACACTAAAAAAAAAAAAAACGGAGAAAGTACTGTATGTGCAAGTAAGATACAATAAAACAATATTTCTTTATTAAAAAATAATGATTCTGATTTATAAAATCAATACCACACAAATATTAGTTAACAAATATCTCTGCAACAACATCAAAGTACTGTAATGAACTCTTTCTATAACTGCCTTCCATTTTTTCTTAATCATCACTCGTAAAGTAAAGCACAAACATTTCCTAATGTTGCACCTGGTAAAGATCATTAAAATTTCTCCCATGCACATTCCAACCAAGAGCTAAAACTTAATCCAAGAACAAAACTCATCCACAAGAGATCTGCTTCACCACTATTCATTGAAAAATAGGAAGTAATATTAATGACAATATAAAATATATTCTACCTGCATATTGAATGGTAATCTATGTCCATGCCTAATCTGTACAGACTTGTGCTCTATAAATATCCTTTGTAAGAGCAATATATATATAAAGATTATAAAATGCATGAAGACAATCAAATGCATCTTTATGTTACTGTTAACGTGTTCCCATTTCTAGAGTAGCATATAAAAAGGACCTCCTACCCTTAGGACTGTTACTGACCCCTCTATCCTGAAGACTTCTGTATACTGGTCTAGCTGCTACCTAAGAGAAACCTTTCCCAACTATTTGCAATACAGAATGTTTAAACCATTATTACATTCATGTAAGCTCGTAATGTCTTAGTTTTTAACCTTCTGTGCTCCTAGTTGGAACCAATTCTTAATCAATGTTGGAAACTGTTAACCTGAAGTGTGTGTGTGAAGTTTCACTGAAGTGTTCATATTATTCTAGATATGATGGTAAATACATACTTACATGCAAAGAATAAATTAATTGTAAGTTTTCAGACATCAGAAATGGTAATTAAAGGAAGGAAAAAAAGTTAGCAGGAAGATGTCAAAGAAAAAATAATAGGAGGAAAACTAAGCAGAAGAGTATGAGTGAATGTGTTACTTTATTCTGAAGCAGAAGCAGCATTAAAGTTAGAAGCAGTAGAGTGGTTTGAAAATATGCAATAGATTCATTCAAGACCTAGCAGAAAAAGGCCAACTTATTCTTCCTTGTATGGCAGTAATCAAGCTTCCTAGCACTAAATGCTCATAAGCTCTAATGAAACTTGATAAATGTCTTTCACTGTTTATTTTTCATAAGGTTCCCGTGACAATTAATTGAACAAGCTTTTCTATCTTGGGTGTTATTTGCAACAGAGACAGACTACTCCGTACAGTCTTATTCTTATGACCAATAATTGCACTTCAGATCACAGGAACCACATCATCACTTATAAAAATCCATTTTTTTTTATATAAATCACAGAAACAGTTACCATAGTGATTTTTATGTATCAAATATTTCAAAATCTTTTTAGCATTATGAAAATAAACAAGGAATGATACTGAAGACAATTTATCTTTAAATATTTATAAAGAAAACAAGCAACAGTAAGCAATGTATTTACTAGACTAACAAAAAAAATTTGCCTATAGTACAGGTAACTTACAACTACCACTTGAATTAATAAAATTCTTTCAGGAGATGATGACAGGATGTGTACATGACAGTGGTATATCACATCTGGCTTAACAAATCACAAACTAAATATTATCTTTACAAACATGCAGATGACCTTTAATTTCATTAAATGGTCAAGAAATCTGATTCCTAGTCTTGCAAGGCATAAACAAAGTATGAAAATTCTCATTATACAGTCTCTCCTCGACTTACGACATATGCGACTTAAGACAACCCGGACTTACCATGTTCATTGTCATTATATACAGTTTAATGTCAGCTGCCTCAATAAACATGAGATGCTAATGCCAAGACTAGGAGCATGACTGCTAAAGCCCAAATGAACCAAGCAGTCAATGGCCAGTCAACTGAAAAATCTATCCATCGATCAAAGGCAAAATATTCTTGAAGAAACATCAGAAAGCAAATTCTCACTAGCCAGAAGTATAACGCAGTAAAATAGAGATTCTCTATTAAAAACAAAAAATACATAGCAGGAACATCTTGAACAAAATGGCAAAGTTCATACTTGAACGTGAAAAATATGGCAAAAAGCAAAAAAGTTTGTGATAAAATCTAAAAGTATTGCAACAGTGAAGTAAAACAATGAGTTGGTTTTGGCCTATGATGAAAAATGCTAAAATTAATGGTGAAAAATTAGAAAAATAAAAATAAAAATAGGACCAAGACAATAGACAAGGTTGAAAATTGGCTAAAAGTGAGTCACACATTATCTGCAACAGAAAGAGAAGTGTTGATAATGTCCAACCATTTTTCCACATTTCTGTGGGTATGACACAATTACCTGATGGCAGCTGATGGGTAAAACCACAATGGGACTCCCCGCTTCATTTTGCTCACCACCACAAACCAAGAGAACCAACCCAGAAAATGCAGCGGAGACAAGGGAAAGGGCACAGCTCTGGTGACCCAGTTGCCATCATGCATGTTGAAGCCAAATTTTACAACTGGATGCCCTTCCTAACATCAATCCACAGGGTGGGAACCACTGGTTTGGTAAGGTTGCAACTCACAAAGGCAATCAAAGATTACCACTGAAAAACTGCAGAATAAAATTAAGAGGGGAGCATCACAGAAACAAATTTCACAGGGTACCACTGAAAAAACACCAAGAGATGTGCAGAAGAATTAGACAAAATTATAATGAAGCAAATCATGACATAGAAGAGCAAGTAAAATAAATAATTGTAGAACACACAGGAACACATGAATATAAATTCTTACATATAAAACAAAATGGAAGAATGAGAAATATGCAGGACCAAGTAGGAATATTATCTAACACAAAGGGCAACTAGAATGAACAAACGATGGATACTAGGGAAACGTCTGCTGTTCGAGTCTAGCCACCCTGCTATACAGCAGGAGAGAGCTTGTGCTAGATTAACTTTTACATGGCAGTGCAACACACAGGGACAAATTAATGTGCAATACACAAGGACATATAAATGTGGGGCATAGTAATAAGCTTAGAAGAATGTGCAAGACAAAAGTACAAGCAGAGATGGTGCAACATGGGGGATGAATATGTAAAACCAAAAAGGAAGAAATAAATAATAAACACAAAATTGAGTTGAGAAAAAAGTGAAATACTTTAAAATGGGCATAAATGAAGATACAAAAGAAGAATGGGGAAAAATTAGCATAAAGATAGGGCACAACATAAGCATCTGGAAGATGTTTACAAGTTACCCATCTACAAAATAATATTCCAACAAGCATGTGACAGTTATAGAATAGGAGGATTCTGTACAATCAATTGGAGAAAATATGAGGCATTCAAGCAATGTGAGAGTCTTGATTCAGTTTGTTACACTGTACTGTGTGTGGGAGTAATCAAGCAACTGGTTTCATCTGACTATGTTTTACCCTCTTTTGTTGAATGGTAAAAAATTATTACTGGATGATAAGCAGATGAAAAACTACCTTCTGTATATTCATACCAAATTTTTTTTCTTTTAAACTCTACTGTATACAGGTGCTCCTCTACTCACAAACGAGTTACGTTCCTGAGGCTTGTTTGCAAGTCCAATTGTTTGTAAGTCCAACTTTACTCTTGTAGATACCAAACATATTGTAAAAAATGAAAAGCTTATTGATATTTAGTAGAGCTATACCCTTTAGTACAGCCTTAAAACATGGCTCACTTTCTCCTCTTTGGTAATGTTTGTTCTATCTGGGATTTTCTTCAAAATAATCCAGTCTCATCCACATTAAACACCTGTTCTGGCAGGTAACCCCCCTCAGTGATGATGTTTGTATCTCTGTAAGTTGGACATTCTTAAGTAGAGGAGCACCTGTATACCTTTTTTTTTACTGTACTGTAATATCAATGCTAAATTCCTATGAAATCATACAAAAATAAATATATTTTAGAAAGATGGAAAACAAGTTTCAGAGAACTCTGACTAGAGTATTACAGGCTTTTCTAATCAAAACAACTTTGTTTCCTACAATGCCTGCCGTCTATGGTCCATTCAACTTACTGAGAGCTAACACAGTACTTTATAACAAAAGGGCTGCTTTATTCAAGCTATGAAGGAGGAAAGGCTGGTAATTTCATCATAAGTTCTGGTTGAATGAATTATTAGTGATCACATGAATTAAGAGCATCACATTTTCTGTACTGAAATTTTACGAACAATATTGAAGCCCTGGTTTACACTGTTTCACAAAACTAAATATGAATTGAGGAACAATGGGCAAATGCCAAGACAAGGACTGGTGGATAAATACTGTACAGTACAGTATTTTGAGAGAGATGAACAGATCTATTAACTTTTAACCAAGTTCCATTTTCAATAAAATAGGGAGAAAAAAGTAAAAAAACATTATAATCTTTGAAGGTTATAATCAAAGGATACAAATAAATGGGACAATTTACAGGGTTATGTTAATGTTGAAAAGGCTAAAAGCAACATGAACCTGAGGGTGGCAAATGAAGAGTGATAAGACTGACTCATTGATGTCATGCATGTATAATGTGTACCCTCCTAACACTGTACCAGACTAATCCATGCAAGACCTGTCCCTTATTGAGAAGGTTTACTGTAGTACTGTTTTTCATGACCCTGGTGAGGTGGATGGAAAGGTGAAGGCCAAAACAAAATGTATCTTGTACATTTATGGAACATATCGACTACTACTACTATCAACTGTATGTATGACCTCTATCTTCCGTCCATTGAAAGTCTGTCTCCAGGCATTTTCCACACAATGATAACACACACAGACAACCCAGAAATGTACTATCAAGTTAGATGTGAAAATGGATCTTCCTATTGTGTTGGGGTTCTGCATCACATCTCATCCCATACTGTCTAACAAGAGCCTGTGGATCTGACAAATCCATGGATAAAAACCTAGAAGTAACATACAAAGGAATCCAAGAAGTGTACAGCATTCAGTACACTGCCTGTCATTTGAATGTGGATACATCCATGAGGTAAACACCAATAACGTGGAATAATTTGCTGATGTGCAAATTCACAGGTTCAAACTTTGGTGTTTTTTGTACTCTACATAAATTGGTGACCCAATAAAATAATACCTCAGGTTTGGTGTAAGAATTCTGTGTGATGTGAACCAAGTGGTAAAATTTTTAATTAATGCAAGTGGTGGGAAAAACCCAGAGAAAAGTATATTCATGATAGGCTTAAAAGCTGAAGACAAATTTCAATAACTAGAGAAAAAGTAAATGTACAGCTTTATTGAACAAACACACAATATGAAATTATCGAGATTTGTTTGGCCTTATTTCTCTGCAAGAGAAAATAAGTTTAAGGCATTCTACATGACTCTTCAGAAGAAAGATGTGATGAAAGGTCATATCTGAAGACTGCAAACAGATCTTTTTTATTCAGAAGTTTCTAGGATGAACATGTGGATGACACAGACTTAAATTGGTTCAAGTTTGTTAACAAAATGACAATATATTAATTAACACTGACCACAAAAATGTTCTTAACAAAGAACAGCGGAGGGAATTCTAGAGTAAGTTTTGGGGACCAGAAAATTCACAAAAGCTTACAATATGCATAGGTCCCCCAGATCAAAGAAAATATTGTACAAAATAAAAGAGTCCAAATGTACAGTATCAACTCTTTTAAAAATTAAAAAATTTAAAACTAAAAGCAGTCAGTTCTAGGCATACATACAGAATATATACAATTTAAAAAAAGCCAGCAACTGCAAGCATATGAAATAAGTCTCCATACTGTCTCACATTTGACCCCCATAAGTTCTTAAAAGGCCAAAATAAATAGAGGGGGTCTGGGCTACCGTACTAGACTAAAGTACAAGTCTCTCAAGGTTCATATTAGTTGGCCCAGAATAGATTGTTAATGTTTGTAAGATGAAGAAAATATGCAGGAGAAAAAACATTGTCCATAATCAGATATGGGGAAAGACACTTCCTTTGTAAAATAATATCTAGTACCTTCTTTTAAGTCAACATTAGATCATATTTAAATTTCAATAAAACCCAAAGGAAATCTGAACACATTTTACAATGACCAACAATTCAATTAGGAGGTCATTTTGGTAGACTTAGTTATTGATTGTAACAACATACTACAGTAATAAGGCATAAAATCTAATATTAATATGTGATGAGTTTAAGTACTGTACAAGTTTTTCATTTCATAAATTTCATACTTTTCTGTTTTCCCTAAATAACATTCATGATTTGTCACAACAATCACAATTTTGAAAGGTCGTGTGCAGCATCATTCTTCTTCACTTAACATAACTTCTCTTTAGAATGCCAATAAATTTAAATATTCTTGTTTTACAAAGCTTGACGAGAAATTTGCTGCAGGTGGGAAAGTAATTAGCATCTCAATAAATATAATCACCTAAATATGTAATGCCAAAAACAGTAGTGAAGCAATCATGAATAAATCAAACTTAGCTCAGTTGATAACTAATTTGAACAACTGAATGTCTTACAACTTACTTTTTGGTGTACGTTAATCTAGTTTTGGTAAACAAATCAATTGTTTAAGGAAAAATAAAATAACTCCACACAGGCTTGGCTAACTAGTAAATCATTCACACCAAATACTATTTCATGTAAAGTGTTACTTAAACCAGCATAGGGATTATCATGTGGTCACATTCATAGTAAAACTGTGGAAATCTAAAACAAAATGAGGCACACCATTACTGCCTCAGGTCCCACCTGAAACAACAGTACGTATACCTATTCTATTTTTTCTTCCCCCAGTCTCAGATGAGCAAAACCCTTCTTTTGATGGAAGTTTTTGAATTCGGCCACAGAACGATACCAACCCAAATAAAAATAATTGACCAATAAAGGCATAATGTACAATTTCCATTATCATCACTCATCACATACCAGTATATATCACCTATACATTGTTGTTGATCATCTACCTTTTCTTTTTCTTGGCAGTGAATAATTTCAATAAACACGCATCTGTCTCGGGGATTTATTAAGCAATGAATCCTCTCTCTTAATAGCCATCCCCGTGTTACAAATACTGAAATACTGTACAGTAGTTGGGTTACAGAAATTCTCCCATACGGAATTTGGAACTTAAGTGGCCAATAAAATCGGATTTCAGAATGCCTTTGTGTTAAATGTACAATCCTTACACTTTCTCGGTTCCTAAACTTACTTTTTATTAATATACAGTACTATTTAGGTTCATATTGTTTTACCACTTTGTGATTTCAGGTTGATGTGACATATTACTTGTGTTGGCAATAAGTAGAGCATCACATGTTTTTAGCATGGATTCTCTCCATATTTTCCCTCTTAGTATTTGCTGCCATGCATTTCTGGTGAGTCATACAGTATTAGCATAATATAAGATAAAAATATTCAATTTTACTTTTAATGTGTCTGTTTAAGAAGGTTGACTTTCATTTTAAACTTTTTATTATGTCTTTTGGTCAAAAAATATTCTTTAGGTACACATGTCATATAAAGGATTTCAATGGGAAAACTGGTTTTGTGTGATTGAATTTCATGTTGCAGAAAAAAAAAAAATCTCTTCCATAACGTGGGGGATCCTGTATTATTTGCTGGGATAACTGAACTTATAACAAAATACAAGAAGCACTGACCTGCTCGAGAGTACACTCTCTTATCCTATCATGTCATGTTCATGAAAGTTTTACTGTACAATAAATGAGAGAAAATAAACTGATTTTATAGCCTGAATATAATACTTCTGTCAAGGATAAATCATGTTTTAAATTATCTAAGAAATCAAATAAATAACACAAGTAACATTGATTCTGATCAATGATCTTATTAGTTTCTATAAACACAAGAAAGAAAATGTATCAACATGACTAGACATCTAAGTTGGTGATCCTTATTGGAGACCAAGATAATTGTTGATGCCTTGGACCAGGAAAATAATTGCTGGCTGCCATGCCACTAGTAGTCTGATCCAGTCGAGTAATTGTCCATAAAACACGTGTGGTTTCTCCCAGGGGTTGCAGAACATTCTTTTGAGATCCACCTGTTAAGTGAGATATTTGTGAATACCAATGCCTAAAAAAAAATTCTGGAAATTGCAGAGAAACCTCCAACTAAAAGATTACTGTACAGTATATGGGAGAGGGCAGTTTGTAAGATTGAGGTCCATTTGATGTGAAAAATCTATATAACAGACTACAGTATATCCTTTATGACTGAGGTCTGTTGGATGGAGGTTTCAGTGTACACTTACCTTTCATAGTTTATCAATGTTTTATGCAAAGATCATGATGTTAAAAAGATTCCCTAAAAAATGAGGCTATACAGTACAGTACAGTATTAGTACAGTAAATGAAATTGACCTAATTTCTAAATCATCCCCTCCACAAAAAAAAAAAAAAAAATATAATAAGTAAAAATCCTTATACAGTAAAGCCTCCATGTAATGGGCCCGTCTCATCAACAGCACATATTATATAAATGGGTCAATACATCTGATATTATATTCAGATTCACCACCCTGTAACTTTCCACTGGCTATGAGGTGACATGTTCAATGCACGTGATAAGGTGTGCCCACGGGAAGCTGCGTCATACTATGCTGAGTAAAGGCATAAGTAGCCGGCTCTCTGGCCACCTGAAGCGAGCAGTAGTTTGATATCCTTGACTAGAGGAAGACGTTATTTGAGAGCTGCAGTGGATGGCTCCGTCTTCCCTCGAGGGGGAACGACGTACCCATACCGTTCTCCCTCGATGGGTCACTACTCGTGAGTCGCTCACAGAAAGTTATATCGTAAGGACGTGACCTAACGTTTATGATACATAAACGGCGTCTCTTTCTCATTCACTCCTATACAGTGGAACTTACGGACGATCTACACTCAGGAATTACATATACAATCCTTTTATAATAAAACAAGGTACTACAGTTTGGGTATCGTTACTTGAGCCCAAATAATAAATATATGTGAACGGCCTGGTTAATTGCACAAGTAGCCGATTCATCCGATAACAACGGTTCGACCAACAACTTTTCATATTTAAAACCTTATTTAATTTAGGACCCAATTCAATTTACGTCCTTATTTCATTCGTATTTACGACAAAAATATAATACAAATAAAACAAAATTACATTTTCATATAAATAAGAACTAAATCCCGATATGTATTAGTATAAAAAAAAAATTTACTGTAAAAAGAATGAAGAGCGCCTTGCGCAAAGAAGCTGCCTTGCTAATGAATGGTAAACAACAGTCGGAGCTTGAAGGGCCTTTTGTTTTCACGCATCTGGAACAGGAACTGGAAAAAACTTTCTCAGGTTTCTTACAGCATTTTTGCATCCCTATTCAACATAAGCAAGAGAGCAAGTGATGGTAGTGTTGTTTCAAAAGCTAATAGAAGTGTCTAAGCTTAGCCGAGAAACTAGATGTGTTAAAACGATATGAAAAAGATGAGAGGTCTGTGGATATTATATGGAGCAAGCAATGAACATATTTTCTTAAGTGGATCCATTAACAGAACAAAGCATTAAACTTAAATAAACGGAAATGACCTCTACATAAAGATGTATTTTGAGAAAAGAAAGCAGCTGTGCAAGGTTCTTTCGACAGCTTTATTATTCGAAGGCCTAAACCATCAACTTCAGCTACACCATCAAATTTAGCATCATAATCAGCTTCAACATCAACTTCAGGTTCAGTAACAGTTTCAGCAACAGCTTTATGGAAAGCTACAGCTTCAGCCAGAGTTGAACCTGATGACTTCGTCATCTGAGTAAAAACTCGCACAATATTCATTGGCTGTCTTTATGTTTTAGACTTTACCACCATTGGTGAATAGAATTTCAGTTTTACATTCATAAATATTATTTAAAACATATATGAACAGTAAATAAGTGTTGCTTTCATATTCATATGTAGAGAAATGACGTTATGTTTTCACATGTATGTACTTACTGTTCATACGTTGGCGTTCCCAATTGTCTCGCCTTATTTTTTTTACCATTAGTGGTTAGCTACTCCTAGTGTTCCATTTATTAACATTAAATAGCATTACTTAAAACATACATACAGGTATTAATTTTTTTTAAATTAAGTTCACTACAGCTACAACCAGGGTCTTATTTTCTTCAGTTTCTTATGTAGAACCATCGTCACTCACGAAAATAATGCCATCTTGTCTCCTCTCGAGTGTTTTAATATTCTACGTATTATTAATGAATTGCATTGTTCATTTCACATATATAAACATTAATTCAATCAAATGCATATTCAGTAATAAACAATAATGAATCTTTTGTACATATTCTAAAGATAAATGACTATGTTTCCTTGAGTGCGCACGTATACACAGTAAACCAAATTACAACACCTGAAGCAGACCAACATCAGTCAATGGTATGGTAAGCTTAAAGAACTCTGTGGACTAAACAATAAGACACACCCCCTCCCCTTCCTTAGCCATCTCACTAATGTTGACGCAGCTGAGCAATCAAATAACCATTTCGCAACTATATGCCAGACGCTCCCCCGGCTTGACACAACCACTCTCCCTGCTTACCTACCAGCCCCCCTTCCCACTGACTTAGTAGAAGAATTTGAAGTAGCAAAACGCCTGGACAAACTAAAATTAAAACGCTCTACCACCCCCATTGACTTACCAATGAAACTCTTCAAGGAGTTCTCCCTGGAGCTTGCTAAACCCCTATGCTCCATCATCAATGCTTCTCTCAGTCAAGCCAGATGCCCAGCTGACTGGAAGACCTCTTATGTATCACCAGTGCCCAAGTCAACCAGCCCACAATCCTTAAATCAGCTACGACCTATTGCAATCACCCCAATACCCAGCCTAATCTGTGAAAGTTTTGTGTTCGACTGGGCTTATGCTGATATTGCAGGAGTCGTAGACCCTCAGCAATTTGGCAACATGAAAACTTCCTCCACCACTCACTGTCTTGTCAGCTTTCTCGATTACATATACCGCCATCTCGAGAAACGAAAAACGTCTGTAGCTGTCGCCTTCATTGATTTCACTAAAGCATTCGACCTAGTCGACCACAATATAATCATCAACAAAGCCATTGACCTCGGGCTTCGGAGAAGTCTTATACCATGGCTTACAGACTTCCTCAGTGACCGACGCCAAGCTGTACGCTTCCGAGGGGCTGTCTCCACCTTTCAGTCACTCACCTGTGGCGTCCCCAAGGCACCAAGATGGGACCACTCTGCTTCCTTATGCTCATCAATGATGCCCTAAGAGAAACCCCTGCTCGCTGGAAATATGTCGACGACTCCACCATTGGGATCAGCGTCAACAATTCTGCTCCCGACTATACCGCCCTTCAGGATTTATTGAACAGTCTCCAAAACTGGGCCACCAACAACCAAGTCACCATCAACCATACCAAGACCATGGTTATGCACATCAACCTCTCCTCCGACATTGTCCCACCTCCTTCCATTACTTTAGGTCCGAACACACTCCAGGTTGCAGATTCCACGAAGCTCCTCGGCGTCACCATAGACAACAAACTAAATTGGAAACCACACGTCAGTGAAGTTGTCAAATCCTCCAGTTTTCGTCTCCACCTCCTCCGCCGACTCAAGTCCCTCGGAGTTCCTGCACACGAGCTCCTCAGTGTTTACTCAACATCCATACTTCCCAAGCTCACCTATGCCTCCCCCACCTGGTCTTCCTCCCTAAATGCCACACAATGTAAACACCTAGAAAAAGTGCAAAAGAGGGCATGCAAGATCATTCTCTCCCCTTCCTACTCCACATATCAAGAAGCGCTCAACACAGTGACCCTTTCGACTCTCACTGACCATCACCATGACCTCATCTGCAAATTTGGTAAGAAGCTTCTACACCATCCTCGACACCGGCTCCTACTACCACCTGAGATCCCTAGCCCGAGAATTGCTGTTCGACACCACAACCGCATCCGGCCCATACGTGCACGAACTGATCGCTATAAGAACAGCCCAGTCCCAACCATTGTAAAAATTATCAATAACTTGTAATAAACCAATGTATTCACTCCCAGTAAATACTACTTCTTGCACTGTCACTATGTTGAAATGCCCTGTAGTTTGAGCTTTTCCCCATCTAGTTATTATGTATCTTATTTATATCACTTACGTTATTTGTATATTATTTGTAATTCGAAACCCATTCCCCAGATATGTAACTGTATATTTTCAGCCTTCTGGCTGCCAAGCTCTTTCAATAAACTGTTAATTATTATTATTATTATTTAAACTTAGTAAAGACATAAAATCCAATAATAAATATGAATTAATGAGTGTCACGCCGAGCAGCTCTCACACAACATACCCAAGCAGGTACGTGGAGATCGAGCGTTAACACAATGAGACTGAACGAGTGACTGTTGGCGCGGCGTATTTCTGCTCCAGGGTGGGGGTGGAGAGGGGTGTGTGCACTAGCATTCATATTTAGACAAAAAGATAGTGCAAAATGAGAAATACCAGCATATATATTTATTAGTACTATTACTAATATAAATAATATAAAGTGTCCTTATATATTTATTAGTACTATTACTAATATAAATAATATAATGTGTCCTTATACAGTACAGTGGTCCCTCGGTTAACGAACGGTTCGGTTAACGAATTACCTTCCATAAGAATCCTCAATTTGATTAACGAACAAAAATTTTATTAACGAAATCCTTATGAAAATCACATTTTGTTGTGAGCATCAGCTGATCAGCTGATGGGGTACTCTGCCAATTCAGTAATCTGTTCTATGTTTACATTCGTTTCCAATGGAGTAAATATAAATAAAGTTGTGCTCTTTAATATTTTTACATGTTTTATATTAAAATTATTAGTCATTTTAACATATATTTAACATACTGTTTGAAGAACAAATACTGTCAAGGTATACAGCCTTAACAACATCAACCTAGAGAAGTCGACTTGTGAAAGAGACCTAGGGGTACTTGTAAGCCCGGACCTACGGCCTAGAAAACAGTGCATTAATGTTCAAAATAAGGCAAATAGAGTATTGGGTTTTATATCTAGAAGTGTAAGTAATAAGAGTGCAGAGGTCTTATTGCAACTATATCTTGCGCTAGTCAGGCCACACCTCGATTATGCGGTTCAGTTCTGGTGCCCTTATTATAGAATGGATATCAATTCACTAGAGTCGGTGCAGCGAAGAATGACGAAAATGATTCCGGGACTTAGAAACCTTCCATATCAGGATAGGTTAAAGAAACTAAACTTGCATTCCCTAGAAAGATGAAGAGTGCGGGGAGATATGATAGAAGTAGTCAAGTGGGTGAAAGGAATCAATAAAGGTGATATAGATAAAGTTCTTATAATATTCGAGCAGGATAGGACTCGGAACAACGGATTCAAGTTGGATAAGTTTAGGTTTAGGAGGGAGATAGGAAGGAACTGGTTTACAAATAGGGTGGTGGACGAGTGGAACAAGCTTCACAACTTTGTAGTAAGTGCTGGAACGCTGGAAAGTTTCAAAGGGAGGCTGGATAGATTCATGGATGATAGAGAGTGGTAGTAACTCTCGACAGGAGCTACCACGCACAGGCCAACCGGCCTATTGCAGACTCCTTATTTTCTTATGTTCTTATATGCAATACAGGGAACTAGTTTGTTGTGCGCCCATCAGATGCAAGAGTCGGTCACATGGCGTCAGTTGAGTTTTGAAACCAGGGAGAGAGCATCTATTTTGTTGGTGTCTTGAATATTTTTGCATTTTTCATTGAAATTATTGGCCATTCTGAACTTTAGTTAACATATCGATAATATATAGCGCAGTGCAGTGTTGATTTAAAGAAAATAATTTTGAATTACACCTAGAGAACTTAAAATTTTATTGGTGAAATGACTGCATGAAGCATGTTTCCCTGAAAGGTGATTTTTCCTCCATCCCCACTTCCTTCTCTTCTCCCTTCTCCTCCACTTCTAATTCCCATCATCATCATCATCAACCAGGAGCCTTCTACATACACACCTCAATGTAAGTGTACTTTATTGCATTTTTTTTTACTTTGTATGTACTTTTCGGTGAGCTGGAACCAGTTACCCAATATCCAATTGAAACAATGCATTCGGTTAACGAACGACCTTCTGGAACGAATTGTGTTCGTTAACCGAGGGTCCACTGTACTGCAAACATTTACTATTTATGCTGCAATGTAATGGGCTGCAAATTTTACATTATTATTATTATTATTATTATTATTATTATAACAAATATTTGCAAGCTCAAGGGCCCCCGGCCTGGGCTCCTCGGGCACCGTTGTGAATGTGGCCCCGCCTTCAGGTCATGAGACCCACTAATCCCCAACCCAACAATGAGTGACCTGACATTGCATCAGAAGGTCAGTAATATGA